AATTGAATATATATATATATATATATATATATATATATAACCTTTAATATTTGAAAGATAATCTATATTACACTACACATCTACATTAGAGAATTGGTGAAAAAAAAATTCAATTAAAAATTAGTTATCATTAATAATTCATATTTTTGTTTTATTTTTGAAAATATTTAAAACATGAATTATTTCTAATTTAAAAATAAAATACACAAATAAATAAATAATAATAAAACATAAATAAGATTAGTCAACTAATATAGTAAAAATCATGAAAATAACATATATAATAACTCAAAAATTTCAGTTGAATCAGAAGAAAAAACACTTGTAGGAGATTGTGTCGGTATAAACATATCAATCAATTATTTATTATGGATATAATTATTTTGTTTTCTTATTTCTACGTAGTTATGTAGTAAGTGTTCTACATGTTATATAAAAAAAAGTTCTGATGTTTCATCTTATAGGGGATGTAAAAATTTATAGTGATTAATCTCGATTTCTTTCCTTTGCGTTGTATAACATGTTTATGTGTAAATTGTAAAAGAAAACTTAATACACTAGTCTTCTAAATAATTAGTAATTGAAATAAAAATAATAATATAGTTGATAGAAGGTATAGTATAACATTCAATAGTTATTTTATGCAATGTAGAATATGTCAATAAAATTAGATTTGTATTTTTTTTTTCATTACTTTTTGACTTTATGTAAAAAAGCAAAAATAATTATAGTTTGAATAAATAAATATTTTTAATATGTTATTGAATATTAATTCTTTTGAAAATTAAATGATTGTCCATCATTATGTTAAGAATTCAAATATATTTATTCATTTATTTTATGAATAATAATAATTTTAATTTAAAAATTAAATTAATTGACACCCTTAATTTTAGAGATTAAATGTGATACAAAAAAATCTTATTTTTAATCAAACCTTAGTATGAATAAGGCTATTTTTTATTACTATAACATATTTAATGAGACTTATATCTATTGTAACTAGACGGGTCACATACATTCTAAAACTCATGAGAAAATGCTGATATGCTTATTTGCTGATTTACAATATGACGAGCATGAGATGTTGTCGTACGATTTTGAAACGAGGATCTCACAATCATAATATACACTTTTATATTAGTTTTTGTTTATAAATATTTTTTTTTAATTTTTATTTATTATAAACTATAAAATTACAATGACTAACGTATGTTACATAACAAATTCACTATCGACATGTATACAAAATTATGAATGTTATCCAATAAAATGTGGAAACTAATTTTATAAGTAGCTAAAATAAAATAAAAGGAAGTAAAAACAAGAAATATTGAAAAAAAATGTGGATATAATTACTTGCAAAGAAGTTAAAAAAAAAAACAGTTTTTAATGTATATTTCTTGTCCCCAATGTTTTTATTTTACTTTTATCAACTTCTTATTAATTAATGTTATGAAAGACTTAATTCAATTGTAATAGGTTTAGAAGGTAGCTTTTAACGTGCATATATGTTAATTTTACGAAAACACATCCAACATCTTATAATTAAGGAACCAGGTTTTAGCGATTTCGTGAATAAAATTCAATATTCTTTGAAATAAAAATGTCTAGCACTAGCTTTATGTGCGTATTCGTAAGACCTTCAACAATGAAAGAAATAAACAGATACAATTTATTCTAATTATAATGTTTAGCACATATATATTCTGCTGTATACTTCGCATATATTCAAGCCACGACTAATTAATTTGAATGGAGTTTACCTGGCAAATAATTAAACTTGATATTTCTTAAGTATAAAGTCATTGTTTATCAAAATTGGGAAAAGAGAAACTATTATAGACTGTGGAGTAAAGAGTTTCGGATGCACATTATCCCATTACAATGGTGTATTCTTTGGACCTTGAAAGACTATTCCATTTCACAAAAAAAATTCAAATAAAACACTTGTTCTTCATACATGCAAAATGAATCTAATCTGAATCTAATCTAATCTTATATAAACTTGACTCCTCATATATGCAACATGCAAAATAAACTTCCAATTGGGTGATATTTACATAATAACAACAAAATAGAAAAAAATAATAATAATGCATGAAAAAATGCAAACAATAATAGATCATGAACAGTTAATAAAGATTTGTTATTCTTGCTTTGCTTTCTACTCAATGTCTGTCCTAATCAGCTGTTTAAGATCCAGATCCTCAACGATGTTAGGTCTTGATTGAACATCCTCATGATTTGTCAAAGTGGTGATAATTTCTTTTGGAGCAAAACACATTTCCTCAGTGTACAACTTCTCTTGAACCAAGGGAGAAACAATCAGATTGTGTAGAATTTCAGAAGGAGGTTCTGCTTTATCTTCCTGTCACAATGACCAAAATATAAGAATTCGATTTGAGCTTAATTAAAAGCAAAAGAATCGAAGATGAAAAATTCAAAGCATTGAGTTGATTATTTTTCTAGATAAACTTTTGGAGTAAGTTACTAACTTCATTTTAAGGGTGGTAAATCATGCAATGATCAGTCTTTAATTCTTCCCAATGTTGTCCAATAAAATGCAGTTTATAACCAAAATAAAACATGGTAAAGGAAAAACGACCGGAAAATTCCATGCAAAGCAGTTACCTGACAACCTAAGGTTTTAAGATTTTAATGTATATTTCTTGCTCCTATTGTCTCTCTTATATATGTTTAATCATATCCTCCTCTTACAACTGTTTCCTCAAATCTCTCTCTAATAAAGTATGAGAGCATATTTTGATATAATAGATTAATAAATTACACACAACTAACCAATGTCAATTAGCAATTTCAACTCTTATTTTTAGTGAACCTTAATTCCAAATCATCCGTAATTACATTGTAATTACATCACACTGTCACAGCAGCGTATCAAACTATCACAGGATATAAAGTTAATGTTATTAAACATGATTTGTAACTCAATCAAAAAACAACAAATTAAAAGTTACCTCGAATGAGATCATGAGTTCAAGCATTCCAACTTGTGCTTGAAGCTACTTAACATACTTTGCAGCTGTGTGAAGCATCTCGGCTGTGTTCATCTTTGGTCCACCAGGAACCAATTTCCCAAGCTCTCGAGTCTTCTCACCGATCTTTTTTCTCCTTTCTCTTGCTGCTATGCTCTGAGAAGATATGATTCTCTCGTTAATTTTATTCTCACATTTCTTCTGACCCCCAAAATCTACATAAGTATCAAGTTGTGGAATCTCATAGAAAATTTTTGGTTGCACTTCCTCTCCTTGCAAGGAGCAAGTATTATCATAAGGCACAATAAACCCCTCTAAGAAATTGGATGGTACTGTTGGTGTTGTAAGCTCTTGCTGCGGTGAATATTGCAGTAGTTGTTCATTATAGCAGCATTTTTGGCGTTTTGGACATGAGAGAAGATTGTGATTCTCATGAGTTGGAAAAATGTTATGATAGGTGAATGGAACGAAAGGATCACAAGAAGGGTAAACCTCCGAAGGGTAAAGAAAGCCACCACTGGGGTCAATATAGTTATCAAAAATTGGATTTGAAAGGTAGAAGCTTTCATCACAATAGGGAAAAAGGTTCTCCAGGTTTGGTGCTGCTACTTCTTCGTGAAAGGCGTTTGTTTCTGAGTTGGGTATGCTTAGTGTCATCATGTCAAAACCAGTGTTTTAAAACCCGGACCGACCCGGCCGGTCGGACCGGTTGGACCGGGAACCGGTGGTCCAGCCGGTCCGGATCTGAAGTTGGATCGGTTATGCAGTCGACCCGTTTCAAACCGGATTGAACCGGTCAATTTTCCGGTTCAACCGGTGAACCGGTGGGTCAAACCGGTTCAACCACTTTTTTTTTTTTTTTTTTTTTAAATTTTTTTAAGGGACCATAAATCACAAAAATAATAATGAAAATTGAATCTCTTAATGAAAAAGCAAGGAGTCTTATTAAATATAACAATGACTACTTGTTCTAATATATTTGTTTGCAATATATACAACTTAAATAACTTTTATAGTATATTATTAATTTTAAATTATATATTTAATAATGCAATATCTATGTAAATATTACATATATTATTTTGTGATATTAATTGCAAGCATATTATATATGTACATATTATTTATATTTTTAATTTGTATTAATATACCGTTTAACATGTAATTTTTTTATGTATTTTTTTACAAAATAAAAATAAAAATAATTTTAAATAAGATAGAAAAATTGAAATTTAAAATAAGATATGAATTTATTAAAATTTATAAGTATAAAATATATTTAATATGAATATTTTTTTAATAAAAATAAATAAAAATCGAGTCATGCGGTTCAACTAGTGACCCACCGGTTCAACCTTTGACCCACTGACCCAGTACCTTAACCGGTTCGATGACCGGTCCGGTTTTTAAAACTATGGTCAAAACAACCTACAAAATGTAAAAGAAATTTAATTTTAGTTGAAAATTAAACGTACTTAGAATAGAAGAAATACATACATGCATGGCTAATTGAATTAATTGTTAAAATTAAAGCTCAAATGCATATGTAGAAGAAGAAAGAAGAAAATAAAAAGAGACAAGGTATGAAGTTTTGAGTCATGCATGTGCATGCAAAAGAGACATGAGAATCTTTGTTTAAATATACTTATGGCTTCTAGCTAGGGAGACATGAAAGAGAGAATGTTGTGGATTTGAGAGTGAGAGAAGGAAAAGACTGCGAAGACTTTTATGCACCGAAGCTATGAGAACTACTCTATCTTCTTGCTTCTTTGTGGGTTCGATAATTTAGGGGAAGTTACTTATTGCTGGCAGTGGCAGTTACTGAACACGTTCACCTTAAAAACGCTCTTCAACTCACCAGGATCAAAGGCCATGATGGAAGGGTCATAACTGCTGTCGATGCCCGCTACTGAACAGGATGTCAAAGATAGGGATTCTTTGTCAGAGAAGATAACTGTTTACGATTCATAAATGTCCTTGCTTAAGAAGATGAGGGATTCGTCTTGGGAGAGGATGAGGGTTTAGGCTTCAGAAACGACACTCCATTTTCGCAAATCATTGTGCATTGTGATGGATATTCTGCCCCTTGAAAAATTTCCCAATTGACCCTTGACCGATCATGACTCAGCTTATTATAGTCACGTGTCAATTTGTGATTTGTTAACATGAGAAGGGCACCAAAACCTCCTCATATAAACTGGCACCGTAACAATCAGTGTTTTAAAACCCGGACTGACCCGGCCGGTCGGACCGGTTGGACCGGGAACCGGTGGTCCAGCCGGTCCGAATCTGAAGTTGGATCGGTTATGCAGTCGACCCGTTTCAAACCGGATTGAACCGGTCAATTTTTCGGTTCAACCGGTGAACCGGTGGGTCAAACCGGTTCAACCACTTTTTTTTCTTATTTTTTTTAAATTTTTTTAAGGGACCATAAATCACAAAAATAATAATGAAAATTGAATCTCTTAATGAAAAAGTAAGAAGTCTTATTAAATATAACAATGACTACTTGTTCTAATATATTTGTTTGCAATATATACAACTTAAATAACTTTTATAGTATATTATTAATTTTAAATTATATATTTAATAATTCAATATCTATGTAAATATTACATATATTATTTTCTGATATTAATTGCAAGCATATTATATATGTACATATTATTTATATTTTTAATTTGTATTAATATACCGTTTAATATGTAATTTTTTTATGTATTTTTTTACAAAATAAAAATAAAAATAATTTTAAATAAGATAGAAAAATTGAAATTTAAAATAAGATATGAATTTATTAAAATTTATAAGTATAAAATATATTTAATATGAATATTTTTTTAATAAAAATAAATAAAAATCGAGTCATGCGGTTCAACTAGTGACCCACCGGTTCAACCTTTGACCCACTGACCCAGTACCTTAACCGGTTCGATGACCGGTCCGGTTTTTAAAACTATGGTAACAATAGCCTTTTTTAATTACTTTTTCTTTTTCTTTTCTACATTTCCTGGGTGTATTTATAATTAACATTAACATATATGATTTTTTTCTCTTCTTAAGTGATTGAGAGTTTAGGGTTTAGTTACTTAATTACTAGGGTTTTAAATCCTCTACATTTGGTATTGAAAACGCTAAACTTTTAAGTTATGAACTTTTTAAAAATATAACATAAATGTTAATTATGTAAAAGAAAGTATTTAATTTGTAATATAATGGTAATTTAAATAAGTTCCACTATAAGTTCTAAGATGTGAATTGAATTGAATAAAAAATGTTTCTGAACCAATAATAATAATAATAATAAAAGATATTATTTCTATTTCTATTACACTAATGGAATACCTACTAACTTCATTTGGTCAGATGGTCTTTTTTATTTATTTTCATATATTTTTTTTAAAAAAATATTGGTTGCACTATGCCAAATGGAATCAATATCCATTGCAAAGGTCACATCCCAATTGTCACGGACTGTACAATTTTGAGTGAGGTTTTTTTAGCATTTATAGTAACTAGAAAGAAAGAAAAAAAGAGAGAAAAAAAACGTCATCAATACCCACCTCAAGCATTACCAAGTTGTCCAATAGAATGTAGAAATTAATTTTATAAGTAAAATAAAACAATGTAATAACAGGAAAATTCAATGCAAATCAACTACACAACAATACTAATTTTTTAATGTATGATTCTTGTTCCCGAAGTTTCTCATGCATGTTAACCATAATCTCATCTTGTTAACCGTTTCTTTAATCAAATGTGTATGAGAAAAGTACTCAAACATTGATACATCTCGTTAGGTACAAGCCTACCAGGTTATAGTTAGTGTCTCTGTGGTGAATACAAATTTAATATTATATTTTTGGCAAATTTAATATTAATTAGTCTGCACGACTTTTTGTGCCTCTTTTCTGAAACCTTCACTAATATAACTGTATGACAGCATTACTTGGAGTTGGCTTGTCTATGTAAAATAAAAATAAAAATAATTTGGTTTGAGTATGTAAAACACACTTGTAAATGTAACTAATTAAAGGCTATATAACGCAAATAATATCAAATTTGTTTTGAAAAATAATACTAATGTTTGATTTTTTTAATAGGGTTGAGTTGACATTTGTGTTGAGTTGAAAATGATATATTAATACTATATAAACTTGTTTTTAAGATAAATGATCTTAAACATAAATAATTTTAATTACATTTATCTTCTTTTAAAATTCTTTAAACTTTAGCCTAAAATGGCATGTATTGTTTCATAAATTTTAAATTTATTTTAATCAATAAAAAATATAAATTTGTTTATAAGCAATTTTACCCAAATTTTGAAGGCAAACTTGAATATTAATAAGTATATATAAATATGTGACGAAAGTATGAATTTTCTTATCATAACTCAAATTTTATAATGTAATTATATTGAAAGTATTTTTCTTATATACTTTGTAATGTTAAGCCACATATTCTTATTTATAATTTACATATTTATGATTTTAATTTGCATAAAAATAATGGCTAATTCAAATTAAAGAATGCTTATAAAACTATACAATTTTGCAAGCACCACACCGTATTGGAGTTATTTTGTGACATTTTATAATAAAATACTCCTCAGAATAATGGAGTGGGGAAGAAAAGAAAAAAAATATTAAATTAAAAAAATGCTTATAATTCATTCTAAGTAACTGCCTCCAACTTCCCCTGAATTATCTCAACCTACAAAGGAGCAAGAGCAGAGTGTGAGGATAGAGTCAGTTTTCGTAACTTCCATATTTTCATACATAAAAGTCTTTCGCACTGTCTTTTTCTTTTTCTCACCCTCAAATTACAGCATCGTATGTTTCTCCAAGGTATCTCTCAAAGATACTCTATCTCTCAAAGATACTCTAACTAGATACTACACGTATCTTTAGCAAAGATTCTGTATCTTCTGTATTTACATGCATGACTAAAACTAGATTATGTATCTTCTGTATTTACATATATGACTAAAACTTCAATTTATTTTCTTCTTTTACATTTAAGTTGGTTGAAATTTACACTTAATTAAACTTCATTTTCATGTTGTAGGTAGTTTTGATATGATGCTTCAATTTCCCAACTCAGAAACAAGCACCTTTCATGAAGTCATGCCAGAAGAAGTATCAGCACCAAACCTCAACCACTTTTTTCCCTATTCAGATGAAAGTTTCTTCCTTTCAAACCCACTTTTTAATAACTATCTTGATCCAACAGGTGATTTTGTCTTCCCTTCAGAGATCTACGCTCCTTATGATCCCATCATTCCCCTCACTCATCGTGACATTTTCCCAACTCATGAAGATTACAATCTTCTACCATGTCCCAAACCCCAAAAGTACAGCTATGAAGCTGAACCGCAAGAGCTTACTACACCTTCAGTACCATCCACTTTCTTAGAAGGGTTTTTTGTGCCTTATGATGTTTGTTCCTCACGGCAAGGAGAAGAACAACAACATGAACTCTTCCATAAGGTTCCACAACATGATACTTGTGTGGATCTTCCTCGGTGTGAGAAGAAAGATAAAGAGAGAACCATATCTCCACAGAGCATAGCAGCAAGAGAAAGGAGAAGAAAGATCACTGAGAAGACCCAGGAACTTGGAAAATTGGTTCCCGGTGGACCAAAGATGAACACA